TTATTTTAGTCATGTGATCAGTCTAGTGGCATGCTGAATAATGTTTTGAAGCTGGGTTTAAAACACAGGGAACCTACAAGCTCAAAGTTTTTTTCTTGTTCTCTGACAAAAACACTTCACGAAAACTAGTTCTCGAATTTTACGTAGTCGTTAATTGTAAAAACAGAAAAGTTCTGTATTACTATATGGAATAGTTTTAACACAAAAGTTGCTAGTATGACTAGATTAACAAGGCCTTGTGAATGTTCACAGATATTTGGGCGTCATTTAAAGTAGTTTTGCAATTAACTCGCCGTCAAAATTGAAAATGAGAGAAAAAATCGGTAGGTGTCTTTGCATGTAGATTACATTTACCGTAAAGTCAATCTGTAGACACATTAAGGTCCACTTGCACTTAAATCGGCATTGAGTCAGTTACATTATGCGCGATCATTTTAGACTATGCACTTTTAACATACAGAAAAGCTTAACGATAACGGCCTTTGTGAGGATCACACCCTACCATAGGCTTAAATTTACCTGTTTTGTAGCCCCGATGGCTCCCGGTAAACTCTACAGGAATTTGACGACCAGGTTCGCTCTTCGGCAAATCTGCCATAAAGAGGTTTCCGCTTCTGCTAAGTCTGTGCTCGGGGATGTCCATTCGAGCGCACGCGCTGATTTCAATTGACTGTCCGGGAAGGTTGAAAAAAAAAAACGGAACATCTTTTAGGATCTAAACTGAACATAGCACAAGGCGACTAGAAATGGAATGCGCGGGCTTAATGAATTAATTGAAAATTTAACTGCTTGGAATCCACGATTGAAAATTAAATGTATAGTAAGTTTACCGTACCTCGACCATATTTGCTGTGTGACGGGTTTTTCTCCAAGCTTGATTTGTAGTCTCTAGTTTCTCCTGATATCAATCTTTTCTGGTTGCAAATGGCATGGAAAGCTTTAGAATCGACCATCTATTTATACAGAAAGTTGAGGAAGTCAATTAGATGTTAAATTGACAGCAGGAAGTCCCCAGAGTCACGCTGTGTTCTTAGAAAATGAAAGCGTCAAATACTTGAGTGACTCGCACGGATTTCCAAATAAGCTGAGCTTTTATCTAGTAAGAATAGTTTCTATGGTTGCCAATTGAGCATACAGTTGGAAATGCTCGCGATTCTGTTTGAAGGAGAAGAGTGTTTTTCAAATAGTAGGAGAAAACAAGTCACGCAAGTTAAGAATCTAAAAAAATTTGTCCAAAATAGACTTTTAAAGTTATTCTACATTAGCTAGAAGATATTTCTTTAAGAAACTGAAAAACTGAACTTTCCTTTTTCACAGTGATGTTAGAAATTAGCCACTCTAATTTATTCTTGTTCAAATAGAAGATGTATTTTGGGATCGTCACGCAACCGACTGCATGACATTCAGGTCCCACCAAAGAGAGGAATGTTTTACAGGTCAAAAGGGTCATGTTCAGTTCCGATTTTTACGCGCTGAATAAAACAATGGAGATAAGTTTTTTCTTTTTGCAGTAAATCTAGCCACAGAAGAAGAAAAATTGAAATCTATCTATGGAAGATTTCAAACACCTGAAAGATGCAAATGTGAATTCTGTTTGAAAATGAAAATATTTCATTAATCCTTTTTACTTAGTCTATTTACGGAATCTAGTCACTTATGATATTCCAATTTCGCTCTCTTACGATTAAGACTTAGAGATTCTTAAATAACTAGTTTGTAAAAGCAGTCACGTAATGCATAATGTTACGATGGGAATGTTTTCAAGTCGCGTTTTTCAAAAATTTAAAAACTTGTTCTTGGTTACGAAGAATAATTAGACGGGACAGATGGAATCTTGACTTCGGCATTTTGACAGGGAAGGGCGTCTAATCCAAGTTTAGCCAATATTTTGCAAGTTTGAAAACCTGCATTTACTGTGATCACGTATCAGTTTTACGGTAATTAAACTTGACCTGATTGACGGAACTATCAACAAGATGGCATTTGTACCATTCGATTGCCGAATCACGAAGGAGATCCGTTCATTGCAGTTACCTTTATTATTGAAAAAAAAAATCTGTTAAATGATTCTAGTTGTCTTTTTAGAACAATAGTTCATGACTGAGAATGAGTAATCGGGACGAGCCGAGGAAGAAAGTTGGAGAGTAGGACATCACTGTATGACAAGATTACTAGCTTAATAAACACTGCGGTTTGTTGATCCGTTTTTTTTATACTTTGAAAGAAATTCTATAATTCTTCGAAGAAAAATAAGATACCATCATAACCAATCAAACCGAAGATAAATAAAGCAAGCAATTATGTATCATTTACCTGGTCTATGGCTCTTCAAGACATGCAAAAGCAAAACACATTCACCTTTTACTGTTTTCTTTACGTTTTCCTTACCTGGGCTACGGAGAAAAAAAAATAGAATTTGCAGTCTTCCGCACCTGATAAGCTTTCCGCAGAACGCTGCCTCTTACCTCGCCATTGTGTTCCTTCCTACTGCACGGCTTTTTTTCTTCATTTTATTTCATAATTTTTATGCTTGTATTTAATGTTAAACTAAGAAAAGAGACCAACTTCAACATAATCGCTCTCTGAGATGAGCAAGACAGTTCATTTACGCTTGACGCTTACATGACGCCTGATTTTTATGATCGCGCGGAGGATTTATACCTGATGGCGTACCTCACTTTGGTTTGCTGGCGTTCTTATACAATACTCAATTACAAGGTTTGTTTTAAAATTGATATCGTTGATTCTTCACTCTTTTTTGTCATAGAGTTGTTTTTCCGAGGTGCAGTCGTGTAACAACCACAGCCCAGGAGATTTCTTGTCATTCCCGTCGTTTTCATAAAACTTTTTTTTTACTTTTTGGAATGATCAAGTGTTCAGTGGTAAATATTAACCAGAGACACAGTTTTTTTTGTACTGCACGAAACGTCGGCTATGTAACTAGGAAACAACTAATTATTTATAGCAGGGGACTGAGCACTAGAAAGATCTATCAAAAAGCTAAACGAACATTTTTTAGACCTCCTTCCAAGGAAAAGGAAGGAATTTTTTAACTCCTTAGCATGTTATGTAAAAAATAAAAAATGAAAAATGAAAACCCCACGAACCCCACAATGCCAATCACTCGCAAAATCAATGGAAACTGCTGAATTACACTCCAGCTCACCCCCCAATATCAATGATGAATGGTCCTTAATATGAAGCCACTCTAGCTTTTAGATTATTTTAATAAATGAAAATGAATTTCATACAGCACAAAATGAAATCAAACCATCTGACATGATTGTTCACAGTCTCCTTGGAACTCTCCCCACTGAAAAATGTCATGTGATATGACCAAGAGCTAACATGAACATCTTGAGCAATTCATCAATTAGAAACTAATGTTGCTCATACAGATTCCATTTGTGAAAGCTTTTGGCACCCTCTGTGAGGCTTCTATTCTTAGCCCTCATACTCTCCATACTGTTCTCTGTACAGGTACTGAGGTGCTGACAAGGAGAATTTGACCAATGATCAAGAGATACTTTAGTTGGTTATCATTTCCTTTATTCTCATGTCATTAATGTCTGATTCAGTGGTGATGTTCTAAGGAGAAACTAGATGCTAATCACTCTTAGAGGTGAAAGGGTTGATGTTTGCATGGTTATAAGGCATAAACTTGATTTAACCCCATAAAGGAATTTTCTGTTGAGGGTTGAAACTAATTTGGTAATGTATTCATTTGGTTTAGCTTTACAATGAACAGTGATCATGACAAGAAAACCCTCTTCTCTCAACCAATCAGACTTCAAATTGAAATAAAACCAATATTGACATGGTCACTAGCTATGATTGCGGCTACTCTTTTGAATATCTGGTTAGATGCATCAGTCAATTGGAAGCTTCAACATCCCTCTTCCCTTGGCAACCCCCTGGCATTTATACTTTTAAAGATTGGCTTGTTCAAATACCCCACCCATTATTGAACAATTCTTTGTTTGATCAAAAATTGTTATAGAATTTAGCAAGGTTCATATTACTTTTTAGCGCTGCTGTTGGGCTTTTTGCTCACAAGCATCACTCTATCATGAAAAAATTGTCCTTTTAAACCATTTACTTACAAAAGCACACACTTTACCTTTTAACTCCTCCATCAAACAGGTGTATTATATTGGAAACACATGACACTTCAAGCTCAAATGCCCCAACCCACCCAGGCAAGGTTTAAATTTCTCACCCCCCAGGCATGGATGACAATCAAATGCTTCTGGGTTGCCCAAGGAGGGGGGAATTTGCCCAAGTCTCCCTAACTTGCAGCCAGTGACATGTCTTTACTTTGAGTTCCCATTGACTGCTTACAATTTTTACCTTTTTTTTAGAATCACTGTCTGTTTAATGATCATCAAAGATTGAATTCTATGCTACATAGGTTTGTATAGATGCCTTAGTTCAAAGTATAATCTGGTTAAAATGGTTTGAAACTGGTGGTTTGAAATACATTAAAAAAAACCAATTTGGAATTATTTCATCTGGAAAAAATTGTAAATAACTACATATACACTTGTAAGTGTCTTTAAATGATCAGTACACAACAAACAATTTGGTGTATAAAACTTATTTTAATATAGAAATACTCATGGAGTACAACACATATTCTGGGTAAATACCAGGTACAATTTATATTACTTAGAACATTTTAAGTTGTTTTTTGCCACTTGAAGTTACTGTGAACAACAATTTGTCAGCAACAGTTAAGTAATACTTTAAAATATTAGTAGGCCTTCTACATATCAAGCTTTAAAAAATATACTGCATTATTTTCTGAAAATTAGTCTAAATTTTAAAAAACAATTGAGCTTATTTCTTCTTCATTACATCTCAAAATGTTAAATGCTTATCAAAAGTATGATGCCAAAAACAAATAAATATACTCTGTTTAAAAAGAAAAATAATAAATCTTTGAACTCCTAGTGCAAAATAGTTCCAAGATTGAAAAAAATTTTAAAATTCTCCTAACTTATTCCTCTACACATATTTTAAAATTGCAATTTATTAACACCTAACAAGCTTCCACTTGAGTTTGATACAGGACTGAATAGTCAAGACTTGCACCATCACAGTAACAACTGTGTAAGGTACTTTCTCTTTCCCTTTTCACTGTTTCCATGCGATGCAGATAAAACCATGTTTGTCTGTCTATTGGCTGACCATCAACCAATGAGGAGGGGTTGACTTCCTCCATAAATGCTTTGCCATCCTCATCACTAGCAAGGTACTTCCCAGTTTTTATTGATTTAATAGACATATAATTGCTGCTGTCATTTACATATTTAACTTCAAACATGTATTTTTTGTCATTGGGTTGTTTGGCAACCAGTTTCTAGAAGCAAAAAATGAAGAACAGAATAGATTAAATTTAAATTTAAATTTAAAAAACTAATCTAAACACTGGTTCAAATCTACCATGAATAATTTTCCAGATTTAACCTAGTATATAGTCAGGATGAAAGTATATAAGTGAATGCAAAAGGCTTAACAGCAATGCCTTAACCCTTTCACTCCCAAGATCTGATTGTTAATTCTCCCCTCTGACTGCTACACATTTCCTTGTATATTGATTACAAGAATTTGTTGTTAGATCATGATAACAACCTCCACCTGATGAGTTTGAGTATTCTCAATACCTGTTTGCGAAATAATGTATGTCTATCATAGAAAGAAGTTGCATGTTAATCACTTCTTGAAGCAAAAGGGTCTAAAGCTCTCCATTTTTTTAATGAAAGAAAAAGTTTTAAACAATAACATCCCACTCTTTTGAGTATAGGGAAGTTCATTCCACTTGTGAACTTCATACCACCTAGTTACAGCAAAGAGATAACACTGGCAATTATTCTATACCAATTACATGTACAGCATGCCTTAGCTTACCTGTAGAAACACCTTGTCCCCTTCTGCACACAAGTAGTAGAGGTTGCCATCTAACTCAATACTAAAGGTATTTGCCATATATTGAAGGGATTGGTCAACTTTAAAATCTAGAAACAGAAACACAAAAAATAAATTTACTAGACATAGAAAGTCAAATTGTATGCAAGTAATTGGCTCTTTACAACTTGGTTATTTCTTAAAATAGATTTCTGTACTGAAAACTGTTATTTTGTTTGAATGATAGGGTTCTATGCTAAGCAAGATTTTAAAGTGATGCCTAGAAAATAACAAACAAGGGTACACAGAGTTTCTTTGTATTATTATATCCAGCACAAACATTCAAAGAAATATTCACAACCTTTATACAGGTCAATTGATCGCCTTAAAAAATTAAATTCCATGTTACTTTTTGTGTGGTCAGTAATAGATCACAGATGACATCAAAATGTGATAGGAACAACAAAATGAAACATGAAGCGTAGCTGAGTGTGTCAGTGATGTTCTCAGCATATTTTGACATCCACTATAATCTATTACTGTACAGACCGACGGCAACATTGAAGCTACGTGTTTTATATGATAAAAAAACTTAACATTATCACTTGTGAGATGTGTCATTTATGCATCTATCCTCCATTAGATCATAAGTAAGAACCAATCAAAATGCATGGGTAATTCAGCTTGCGTTAGGAAAACGTTTATTACCTTTGCAATGGTTATTAATATCAATTGTAGTTAAGTGCATGGCCAAGATGGCTCTTTTGAATGCTCAATTTGAACCTCAAGTATCAGTGACTGGTGAACTCGCGTTTAATTCTCACATGAGTTTAAAATGCACAAATAATACATTCACATTGTAGGTTTTTGCGTAGATTACGCTCATGATATTAGATTTCAGAGCCAATATGAAATGTATTAAGTTCCACGTGTACTTTACACCGTGTCAGTGCATGTTTGACATTTTTACACGCCGCTCGATCTACAAGTGTTGTAATGACTGTACACCCCGAATTAGCTTTTGTACATGAACTAGAGCTTCTTGAGAGCCTTACCTGTTCGTTCATTCCTGTGGCTTCCAGTAAACGTTATTAAGATTTGAAGGTCTCCGTGAGGCAAAGCTGCCATCATAAGGTTTCCTCCGTGGTCAAGCTTGTGTGCCTTTTTGATCATACGATTACAGGAAAGGATCTCAGTTACCTGTCCACAGAAAAATTAAAGAAAAGGAATGTTTGTTAAGCTTTTGGATCTAAACAAAACACTTTATTACTGGACACAATCAGTGTGGGAAGAAACTTCACTCATTGAAAGAGAACTGTTAGAAAGATGTTCGATTAACTCGACAACAATTTTATCCTACCTGAGCCATATTTGCCTATTAAAGGTTTTCTTTCCAAACTTGCTCTGACGATCTTTGGCTTCTCTTGCCGTTTATCGCGTCAGAAATTCGATATATATATATACGAGAATTTGAGGAAGTTTATTGCGCAAATTAACACTGGGGGACTCCCCACTGTCACGCGGTCGACTTGGAAAATGAAAACGACAAATACCTCAGTTACTTCCACGGATTTTCCCATAAGCTAAGCTTCTATCAAATAAGACTGGTTTCTACGACTGCATATAGAGCATACAGGGGGAAATACTCATAATTTTGCCTCAAAGAACAAAATATCGCTACACTAAAAATTTGTAAAACAACTAGCCACCCAAGAAAAGAAAGCAAATATAATTTTCTGAAATAGAGTTTTAGAGCTATTCTCGGTTGGCCAGTAGACATACCTCTGAGAAAATGAAAGACTGAAACTTTTTGCCACTGATGTGTGAGATCGACTAGTATAAGCGCTGTTGCGTGATAATTCGTATATTTTGGGACTGTCACGCAACTGTCTGTGTGACGTTAGGGCCGCCATATCAGACAAAATTGTCTGATATCACATGAAAAATATATGCGCTTTCAAACGCGAAGGACGAAAAAGAATACAATCCAGGAACAGATGAAGCAAAATTTGCATTTCATGTATGAAAAATTTTAAACGTCTAAACGCTACAAGTAAGAGAGAAAATTGTCTATAAAATGAAAACATTTCATTAATCCTTTTATAAACGGAATTTAGCCACATGATTGACCAAATTCGCTATTTTTATTATGAAGACCAAGTGTATCTCAAAAATTTAATCTAAGCCAGTCAGGTGGCCTTGTTAGTCATTGCAACGGGATAATTTTCAATCGAGTGGCGTTTTTGAAAACACTCGAAGATACGTCATGCGGAGTAAATAGAATGTTAATAGCGAAGGTTGTTTAATTGATATCAAACGAACTTTTTTAAGTTTCTTGAGAGAGAATTTTAAAGGTTTTCTTACATTGCGATCAGGTTTAACAACAACATAACTTACTCTGGCATGGAGACAAGGCCTGTGTGCCCTTCGTTTACAAGTCAGGTACCTTATCCTTATTTAGTTCCTGAACAGATTTTGAATCTTGTTCCAGTCAATTGATTGTGATTAAAAAAATAAGACAGTAAGTGAACCGTGGAGGGAAACTTAAATTAAATAGGAAGAAAAACAAGGCCAAAAAACTCAGAAAACGATGCGTCTTGTTGATCGATATTCCTGTTTTTAATACGTCTATGTTGCTATAGTCTACTGGAATTCATAAATAGAACAGTAATGTTATTATCGCAGAGCAATTCTTGCTTTTGAAATATTTTCCACACGCTGACTGACTGGATTCTACAAAAGAGAAAAGAAAAACTTTTGCCGTGGCCGAGGAGGTCTGGTTGTGGAAAATATCCATCCTTTCTACACGTTTAGGCATAGCGTGACTAATCAGACCACCGACACCTCCACTCGGGGAATGATACAACACGTACTTTCGAATGTTTACAAACATGCTTAGTCTGTAAAATCCCCGCTTCTGTGAGTAAAATTAAAAAAAAGAGAGATTTCTTATCCCTTACCCAAGGAAATTATTTCAGCCTAAAGTCGATGGAGAAATATAGATATTTAATGGATTAGTTATGGAAATGTGCTCAGTTAAAGATAGCTGAAATGGAGAACGTCACGACTTACTTATAACTTGCGCTATCTCAGATGCTAGCGAAATGCAAAAAAGTTTAATTGGAAAAAATTGAATGAATTCATTTACCTGTGGATTTGCATCCAGCTCAGTTTCATTAGATTCATTGGCTGATCCCGATTGGAACTTAGCCATGATTCTTGAAAAGAATTTAGAGATAGCTTGCATATCAACTTTGACGACCGGTGTTTCCTCTCTGTCGAGCTTTTGACTCTACGACACTCATGGCCTGGAAATTTTGGAACTTAGGTCATCTCAGGTAATTCCCCGCCAATAGCTGGGGCCAATAAGGGTGCTTTGGCGGTCACACCTCAAAGTCATGGGACATAAATGTAAATATCGGAAGTTATAACTAATTAGTTTTGATTTTAGTTGTATTATTCCGGACTCTGGACCCTTCCTGTTTTAATCATCAGGAATGCACGGAGGCAGGTGAGGTGATGCAATAGTACGAGTGAACTACTCAATTCGTTTATTTCCTGTCACATGCAGGAGTTTGAAAGGAAACCATCGTAAAATTGAGGACAATTTGTTGGTTTTTTTTAAGGCTTCCGGATAAACTTCCTGCGTATATTGCGGCTGTGAATAAAAAATGATGATTCTTATGAAAGGGAGAAACCATTTATCTGTCTCTTAAGTATGCAAAAATCTGCATCTGTTCAGAGGTTGTTTCAATACTATGATGGATGCAGTACTACTAGAACCTAATGTAGAACTTTTTTAAAGAGTATTCGACTGGTTCTACCTTTAATGACCCCTTGGGGTATATAAGAGGAATAATGAAATAAAAAACGCTTTTCCAAGTTGTATGGAATGCATATTGCTGCTGATCTTAGGCGCATCTATTTTCACTTTCAGTATTAAACGTTTTTTTTTAATTGTGGCCATGGAATATTACGCTAATACTTTTAAGCTTGTCCTAATCCCAATTCTCCAGTGGATTTTTTCCAACTGTTTTGAGTCCATCGTTCCAAGTGTTTGGTCCTCCTCGCTTTACGTTTTAGGTGAGTTTTACTTTTTTCCTTTTAGAGAAGGAGCTCAGATCAGAAAAATATTGAACTGTTAATTTTTTTCGATCACCTATGAATTAAAGCATTTCTGATTGCCTTGACGGGTTCTGTCTGAAGAGCATCCATGTTTGAAAATCCTATTTACCTAGTACGTTATGTACCTAGCAACAGAAATGAAAGGAAGAGCCCAAGGGATTTGGATACGCCGACAAGTTTATGGTGAAAGAAATAGCATTCAAGGAGGGCAGCTCAAAGCGAAAACGAAATCAAATTAAATAATTGAGAAGGAAAAGAGAAGTACTACTCGAATTTTCCAGTAAATAAAACTGCATTAAAGGAGATAGGGATTTGCTAAAGCCAAGGGTTTACTCAAATGCGCCGTGCAATCATTTGGGAAAAAAGTCTCAACCGATCAAGCCATGAAAATTTTTCACAAGCTATGATCACATGACGTCTTTTCACGTGCTTGTCATCAAGCTGCTGAAGTAATGTGTTTAACTTTACGTGTATTTCCCTGAAAAGGTAACTACCCAAAAATTTGATGATGGATTATCTTCGTCCATTGTTTATAGTGTAAATAATCGGTAATTTCATCATTCAAGGTCAGACGAAAGTCAAGGAATTTCACTTTGAGACAGGAAAAAATTCACGATCTTGAGGAAAGTCGAGGAAAACAGAAATATGGAGTAGATATGAACTCATTCATCTTTTCGTAGCCTTTTTATGATGGAAGATGCTAGCTGTTATTAACTTTTTGGGATGTCGGTGTTACTCATGTACATAGCTTAGTACAGTCCGTAGATTCCTGACCAGCATATCTTCCCTACTGGTAATGCAAGCTCAAGTTGGTTTGTAAATTAAATTGAGCAATTATTTGTCTCCTGTTTTCATTGTCTTCTAACCTTTCAAATTCTTTCGTTTATTTCATGTTGATGGAACGTGTTAGACTGATAGAATATTGTTGAATGAAATTGAACGAGAAGCTGATGTTGGGTTTTCAAGGAAATTAAATCTTTTTTCCACGTTACGTTGACCGGGAACTATCAATTTATGTACACTACATGTAACTTGCTGAGAGAATAAATATATTAATGGGTGCAGAAAAATGGCTGTAAGGGGACGTTGGGAGCCATCATCAAAACTAATACGTAAAATTGTTAATTCAGTTTGACAGGAAATTTTTAAATTTGTTCAGGGAAAAGTCAGGGAATTTCAAAAGCTTATGACTGTGGCAACCAGTACAATTCCTGAGAGTAAAATTGGAAATCTGAAGAAATCACTGCACTGTCCACGAATGCGGTCAGATCCACCTTAAATTTTTCCGAATGGTTAGTAAATTGCCGACGGTGAAGGGACCTTAAACACCTCTCTTGAGTCTGCACTTTCGAGCTTAAATGCTTCCTGGACGGAAATCATCTATTTACAGAAAGTGAGAGCGCCTTGCTTCACCTTAGAGAGACGTGTGAACTATCTTGTGAGCATCACATGAAAAAATTAAGAATTTTTATCAAGTGCCGTCACCAACAGGTTGACTGATACGATATTACGAAACCAACAGTTTTCTTAATTGGTAATTGATATGTTTCTCATGTCATAAACTAGTGATAATTTTGTTTTTGTATGAAGGATCTGAGGTTTGCGTATGTGTCTACGTGTGTGTTTTTTGCCGCACTCGGTGCCTTTCCCGAAATCTAAAGACGGATTGGTCTACAGGTCAATGAACGACCCGCCCCTTGTAGATTACCAGTCTCAAAAAGTAAAGGCGTCATGTAAACCACTCGATTTAAAATTTTTAAAGAATTCATCATGCCGAAAACCACTCAAACAATTATAATATCTTTTGGCTCAACAAAATTAAATTTAATGGCAAAATCCACCGCAATGAACCTAACTTGCAACTAATGTATTATGTAGTAAAATTTGCACTAGGCGACTTCAGCACAAGCCAACAGCTGAGTAGCGTGTGGAAGCGGATACCTCTCTCGGCTCTCGCAGACTAACTGTGAGTACTGGCGTCTGAAAACTGATAAAAAATCAAAACAAGGACAAAGGCCAAAACGGAGCTCGTATGCTCTGGAGACAGTTGCCGGATTTGCGTGACCGTAACTGAATGATTAGGACAGTCTTTCCGCCAGTAATGGTAGTAAGATACTTTTATGTCAAATCATTCTGCGGTAAGATAACACTTTAAAAAAAATCTTACAAAGATTAAAAAAGAGTGAAACTACGTGTTATTACGTAAATGTAACTATACAGAAACGCAATATACATTTTATCATTGCATTGCGGAAAAGCCTATAATGGTTTCAGCACTTTCCGCCGCTTGCACTAGATATCTGATATTAGGCACATTTTAATCTCTTTTATTTCTGTACGTTAAACAAATACATTCGTAGATTTAAACTTAATCAAGTACAATAGTTCTTATTCTCCTTTCTTTTTACGCTCTTAGAGCCAGATTTTCACAGGATACTAACCACTGACTTACAAACTTTTTCGGACAGATGATGATTACGTCCTCCAAGATAATCATAGCAGAAATTGCGGAAGGTTTGAGCATGTTTGTGGTTTTTTTTTTTTTTATCTCAGACACAAGTGATCAATACCGGTGTGTTTCATCGGTTAGGAATTAACTAAGAAAATTCACTGAATTATTTTGTCAACATTGTAAAACTGTCTTGCGTCGACTGAGTCGCTTACTCTGGTTTCCATAGGCCGTTTTAATTCATAATTTTTTCTTTTTCATTCGACGCCGTGAAGAGAGATTTTTAAGGAGCGTGGAATTACGTGACATTTTGTGGGCTAACTAAGATATATGACAAAAAGATAAAAATACATTTATAAATTTTTTTTTAGAGGAAAAGTTAGATGTAGTCTCTACTCACGTTCCCGGCGGCATTTGTAAGCGATCCTCATCCTCGGCATTTCACGCTCTTTTGTGATAAATGGAAATATCATGCAACTTTGCAAATTCGCCGGTTGAATTGCGCTAAAAGTAATTATATGTATGAGAGGGATTTAGGCTGGGGCAGGCTTTTAAGCATCTCTTCGATAATTGGTAGTCAACGCTTAAAAGATGATCAAAGGACTTCGGTATTTTTTCGACTTCGTCAGCAAAAAGCTTAGTTACTGACAGACCTTGAGCACTGTTAAGGGAGAGGAAAACTCTACTTGCTATGCCATTGTAATGATAAATGAAGATCTCGGTGTAGGGTCTGAAAATAGATTCAAGTTTGAACCTATACTTATTATACCAAGAACCAATTTTTGCATGACGTTGTACGAAATGACAGCTTTCTATGATACGCTGAATACTAAACGCATTTTGGTGGTTCTTACCCATGATCTTTTGAAAGACAGACGACGTCACCATTAACGGAGGAACTTTTGCTCTTCTATTTGACTTGTATTAGGCCTGTCACTGAATATGCATGCCCTGTTTATCATCATAGCCTCCCGCAATACCTTTCAGTAGATCTTGAGAGATGTCAAAGGCGAGCTTTACGTATTATCTATCCAGATTGTTCGTAAATAGGCGCTTCTTTTGACTGGTCTAGTTCCCTTACACACCCGCCCAGAGTTCTTATGTGATAAGCTTTTTAATTCCATCCTGTTGCACAAGTGCTTACTACCTCCCAAGTGAGTGCTCAATTTAAGGAGTACACTCTTTTACTACACGGCGCCTCCACACCATTCGTACTCGAAATAGTTTTATCCATCACTATGTCCATAAAGCAATGATGTAATATTGTTTTTCTCTTAATTATATATTTTTGTCTTTTTAATTAGTTCTTCTTAGCCATGTATTTTTTGTAGTATATATTTTATTGTAAATCAAACGTAATTCAGCCTGTGGCTGCAAGGTTCTTGATAATAAACTATCTATCTATCTAACAACATTTAGCTTTTTTTGTGAAATAACACAAGTAGATTCCATGTTGCCGCGCGTCTGTACAGCAATAGATGAAAGAGGACGTCAAAATTGGTGAGAACATCACTGACACATTCCGCAGCACCTCGTGTGCCAGCTTTTTGTTCGTCAGTGCTATATTTTAACGGCACAAGGTCATCTCGTATTGAACAATCGAACAGCAACATGGAATTCATTTGTTCATCTTTCCGAAACGATAGACACCATGACGATCATTAAGACTCCAAAAAAATGGTCAGTGAGACTATTTTATTGCTGTCAGTTTTATTGAGGCAACGTTTCGCTATTGAGCGCAGGAACAGGCAGGTGAAGGAGCACTTTTTCTATGAAGTTTATGGAGTTTCTAGCTCTGGCTTTCAGCCTATGTCTTGCAAGTAATACTGTAAATAATCCTGTTCGTTATAATTTTTAATAATTTCTAGTTAAACTGAGAAGTATTTTAACTTACGGAAAATTATCCTATTGTATCTGAACTGAATAATGTTATCAATCCTTTTACGATGTACTTCACCTCCTCAACTAATAGCTTTAAAATCAGCATGCCTTTATTACTAATTCATTTTCCAGCTTTGGTTTTTCTCTGAAGTAAGTGTCTCGGTGTCTGTAGAGTTACACTTCTCTACTTAATCAGAGTTCTTTCTATTGATTTTTAGCAGTTCCCTCAGAGTCTCCTTCCCGTTGATCTGCGTTGCACACATCCTTCAGACCCTCAGAGTTTCCTCCTGCAAGGTCTTCTGTTTTACCCTGGTCATGGTCTCCTTCCACCGGTCCTTCATGTTTTCGCCTCTGTGAGTCTTCCCTTTCACCCTGGTCAATATCCTCAGTTATGTGCTGCTCTCCTGGACCTTTCGGGGCTTCTTTTTCCGAGTCATCAGCAGGCCCACTTTCATGGGCCGTGGTCTGCTTTTCACCTGTATCTTCGTGGTCGTTGCACGAAACACTCAAACTCAACAAAATCTTAGTATACGTTTTGTGTTCTTGAATAAGGTCTGAATGCCCTTGTTGCTGATAATCTAAGAAGGAGAACCACATAGCCCGATCTTCAGGTACTCCATTACTCATTTTTTTGCCTGCCACCTTCATACTGACGTTACCATTTTCTTCACAGTATAGGTACTTCTTGTTTTTTACGGACTGGATTGTGAAGTAGTTATCGTTATTGTTGACCCCTTCGAGAAAGAACAAATATTTTTCGTTTCCGGGAAAGTTTTGAAGTCTCTGTGGATAAAAGAAAAGAAAAGAAAGAGGTACAACTCAATGAACAGAAGCTAAATATCACCCAAAATATCACATAGAGTGATCAAACACATTTTCAAATTGGGTGGTTTATTTTCTCTGTACTGTTTTCCATAAATTTTCTATAGGACTTAAAAGGGGAATCGATCGAGAGCTTCGGTAGTTGGCGATCATTTCCGTTATTCTCAATTAATGTTTTCGAAAGTTGTCGAGGCCTGTCGAGGGCCGACGCAAGGTGTCGGCTACTTTTCGTGTTCGTGTCGGGCACTTTTGAGTCAAAATTTCGTTTGTTTTCTTTAAAACAGTGAGACAGTTCTTCACAATATGACTTATACAACAACAACAAAAGATAACGATAAGTTGCTATGTTAATCTCTTTTACGAATATTTGACAAATGAAGCCTTCGATAAAACGAAAGAAGATTAGATTTTGGCTCTGAAAATGCGACAGAATGCATCCGGCTTTGCCTCGACAAACTTAAACATTTTCCGAGAACCCCTTCACCTCCCTGTGGCTAATTTTTGTAGAATTGATTGTCTTCTTGAGATATCCTACTAAAGTATTGCACTTACACGAAGGATCACATCAGGGCGGGCCTTCCTCACAGCCAGGTAATAATTGTCCTTTCCTGAACAGTACTTAAAGACGTTCGAAACTGTGTCTTCGTCTTTCACCAAAAGGAACGCTATAAGTAAAGCAGATGAGTTCGGAAAAGCTCACTAAAACAACTCTAGGCGATCTCTCAAACGTGAGGATTGTAAAATACGCGAAAAGCAAACGGCCATTCATTTAAAAAAAAAAAACAGGACTCGAGGGTTAATTATTTGCAATATCCAGTGAACAGGTGGCAAGAACAGAAAACAAACTTCAGCAATAGGAAATCATATAGATGTTTATAAAGAACGCGGAGAATATCGAATAGAATAGATGTACCAAATAGGATATAATAGCAAATTCTAAAAACCAGATTAAAAGGAAATGTATTGCAGCTGGACAGGAGAATTGCTGATTGGATCAAAAGGATTCAACAACAGTTGACAGTTGCCTACAACGGGTAGCAAATGTAGTTTACACGCCTGCCCTTACTAAGAGGTTGATAACCCTCCACTCAACATAATAAACAGAAATCTTATAATTCGTCTCTACTAAATTTCTTGAAAGTCTCCTTTTCACCCTTTACACCCCAACATCAGTATGCATATTCTCCTTACTGTCCTCTACATATTTCTCAATGTACTGAAAAGGAGAATTTGTCTCACAATCAACAACTTCTCTAACTGGTGATCATTTCCTTTATTCTCCTGACCTTAACCTGTGATTTTGGGGAGATATTGTAAGGAGAAATTAAATGCTTGTCACTTTCAGGGGTCAAAGGGTTAAGTACCGTGCACATTTAGGAGACGACTGGGAACGAGTCGGGCTCTGTTTCCTTACATGTTAGTTGATCGTGCGGACTGGTTCCTGTGAAGTTTACAGTTATCGTTTTTTGACCTTTTCCATGTTCATGAGCCTTCAAGAGGTTGCCATCAGGTTGTCCAGGCCTGAGTGGTATGTCTTTACGACAAAGTGATTGTACACAACAAAGAAAAGGTCTCTAAAAGACACGTAAAAAAATTACCATTAAAGTTGCTTTTTATAGATTTCTTTGTAGTTTCTCTTTTCTCTTGATAACCTTTCACATATCCTTTTCTAACAATGTTGGTCAACATGAAAGTAACTTACACATGAAAGACGCCCTTAACAATGAATTCGAGGTTCATGTTTATGAGCTTCAAGCTGTATTTGCATGCCCTTGCGAGTTTTCCTTGGAAAGTGCTTATTATATTAGAAAGACTATCTTGAGTAGAAATGATTCCTCTTGTCCTTTACAAGAGTCATCTTAACAAGTCCTCTAAGTTGGCAAAATTTGTCATCGAAATACTTCTCTCTCTAATTTCACGGGCTCCAATTCCACTGGACATTGATTGGAGACTCTGGTCATTTTTTCCATCGACACTACATAAAGAAACTTGAGAAGGAAAGCTTGCTCATGGAAAGAAAGCAGTTGCAATTGAAATTAAGGGTGAAAGTAGAAACTATTTGGGCCACAAGGCAATGTTTGCTAAATTATCCATTTCGTGCATCTCGAGTTTATGTTGACTCACTTAACGTGCGTTGCCGACCATTAATCGACCTTAATCGGGTACAGGACCTTAAAAAAGTAATACCAAGAAGAAAGACTTAGGCATTCTGACCTCATCTTTAAGGTTTCTGGATGCAGTAAGTACTTCTTCAGTACGCAATTCCACAGACATTCCGATGCCGTCTTCTTTATCTTGTTTGGTTGGGGTTGTCTCAGCTCCTGCTGTTTCAGAATCCAGTTTTTCCTTTTTCTCTGGACATCCATTCCACGCTTCCTCGTTACTTCTTTTCTTTGAAGCTGTCTTAGGATGTTGTTGTTGAGGCATTTTCGAGTTTATCCTACAAGAGTCCCTCGGAGGAATGTTTCCAGGAGTACGAGATCTTTAGACAAAACTGCGGTGAAGAAAACGGAAAAGCTTTTGTTTTCCCATGGGATTATGCTTTTGAAAGTGTTCTCATTTACATGCTTCTGTTTTGGAGTTATCCTAGAAAAAGGGAGCTCAAGTACAGATTATTTTGAGACGTGCTTTTATGCAACTAGAGATCGAAAAGATTCCAGGCCAGTGACCTGCGGCTGGTTTTGAGAATCAGCAGTGAACATTAAAAAGAAGACGCACGTGGACAGAATTTGATCATCTCTGGGCCTTTTCGCTGTCGAAAGATTCTAGCCCACTTTACTGGAGAGAACTTTCCACCACTGCACGCCAAATTTGGCAGATTGTGCTCAATTTTTTTTCTCTAAATCAGAGAGTGACGAGCGACTCTGTATGGCACTTTGAGGAGCACCTTAGCTAATCCCTTGTGCGCTCAGTTGGATTCACGTGTTTGGTGTGGCATTCAAGTCTAAGGATCTTTTGGCGTTCAGAAATGTCTGAACAAGTCATGCCTCGCGCCAAGTAATTAATGAGTTGCCAGTAAACGGATTCCTGTGTTTGCGCAAAGATTTCTGGGATCGCCACCAGACAAACATTGCAACTGGATGGCGAAAGGTTGTTTCGACGTCGAAAAAAATCGATTTTGGCGAGAGATCATGGCTTTTTACTGCTGTTTTGTTCGAAATGGGTGTGGGTAATATTGATACAGGGGAAATGCAAGGTTTTGTTTGAACAACCATGAAATATGCTGTAAAATCTAACGATTAACTTTCCTCCATGCGCAAGGGTTTAGTGAAACTGACTTCGCGTAATGATCTCGAACTTTAGAAACGTTAGCTTTAGATCGCCAAGAAACAACTCAATAAAGCCGTCTCAGTTTTATGTACTTGTGTTAAGTCTACATCTAGCTTTTTTCTTAGCTTGGTAAAAAAAACAAGCAAACAAAAAAAAAGGTTCAACGGCTACCTCGAGGCAGTAGAAGTTTAAAATTGTGTGCATTAAATATTATCGTGATACATTAGTGAGTAAACACCTACATTGTCTCTGTGTTGTAATCAATGAGATTTTACAATTTTATCAATCATAGACCTTGTGCAAGGAGAGAAATGAATCGGTATATTTTATAACATATTTCGTGGTAATGCTGACAAAAACTTACTCTTCCCTCGCATCAACATTCTCTCAATCCATTTATGATAAAACTGCCGCGAAAAAGCGTTGATCTCTCTCCAAAATCGTTTTTTTGGACGTCGAAACAACCTTTCGCCATATATTTCCTTCTAACAACTTGCACCGTTGGCCCCGTGGCGATCCCAGAAATCTTTTCGCAAACACAAGGATCCGATTACTGGCAACTCATTGGGTATTGTCTGTTGAATCGTGTAGTTAGCGTCAGCAGGCGTCACTGCAATCAATCTTTGAGAAGAGTCACGACTCTGTTGCTTGACATTAAGCATCAATGCAGGAATTTTACTTTCCTACTTGTACGAGCGAGCTTATCCATAGCGGATTCCGTGCGTAACGGGAGCATTGTCCGAAATGTAAATTTCAGCAACATTACAATCATCTAGATTACTCGTGCGTAAAAGGAATTGAACACGACATTCTTTCGGCGAAAATCAAACATGTACTGAGTTGTCGAGGTTTCCCAGAAGAGTTGCGATGTAATTTCTTCCTCCTTGGAAAGGGAGTCGTCAGGTGAATGAAATTTTGTAGATTAGAATTTTCGTGACAATAACAATATTTCATATTAGGTACTGAATAGAATCAGTAATTTGTTATTACCAATCTTTTTTGCGTTTCAGATCACGCATATCTGAACTCGCGGATAAATTGATAAAAAGTGACAAAATCCTGATTTCATAATGTTCTCATATGCGAACTTACAGAATGTTACCAGTTTTACACATACCTGGCTCCTTCTTGCGTGCTATGTTGGAACTGTGTTTATAGGCACTTGTAAGCCTAACTGTGAATTAGTTCGTTGATAACTAGGCCCTTTATTCTCTAAAAGTTCCGGCTGCAAAGGAAACACAATACCTTGATTTTGTTAAAACTTTTTAACTTGTGATTGACGCAAACAGGCGTGATTCGGTGCTCAATTTTTCCTGCACACTCGAGGTTGAATGGATGGCGATCGCAATTCAGCGCTACGGTGCATGTTTCGGATGAGTGGCCTTTTTTACTGTGATATTTCCGCTTTGATACTTCACTTACAGATTCAGTAAAGAGAGATGACGTCTTTCACGAGCGTTGAATATAGAAATCTATCTTATGTCGCCGTTCGTCTACTCAGAACAAAACGTGGCGCACAAGCTGCGGACGAATGTGTCATTAATGTTCGTAACACCAGTTGACGTAATCTGCGATCGAAAAGTGACCGGACACTGGACAAAATGGAGTGTTTTTCAGGCATGATCTTGCAAAAATTTTCAAGTGCTAATGTTAGACAAAAGGAAGTAAAACAATGTACTTTTACAGTTCATAGGCAATAATTGCGTCGCGTGTAATATTCAGCTATTTGTGTAAACTTAAACAGATTCTTAATTTAAAGGGAAAAGTTGTTTGGTGAAATAATTTAAGATTAAATTAGGACCTGAGTTTTTTCAACCTATCAGAGAGATGTATGGAACCATTAAGGTGGGGCAAAGATTACAAATATGATTTGTTTGAGTATTCTCATTACTTGTTTGCTGGGTAATGTCTGGATATTAGAGGGAGAACTTACATGTTAATCATTTAAATGGTTAAAGAGTTTATTTTATCCTTACCTTTGACCGATAGAGGCAATGGTCCACAACAAGCGGAAACCCTCCCACGCGTAAGAAAGGATGTAATCAAGTAGAAATCCCGGAAAAATGACCTAAAAGGTTTACAATTTGATAAAAATCAAGAAATTGAGAGTGCACACTGAAGAGTATTTTAAGAGTGTCAAAGTCGGTGCCAATGTCCTTCAATCTATACAAAGGTGATGTTAAAGAAAGTGTTTGATGAAAACTGGTGTTAAAAGAGATATTTATGGCACCTATATCGAACAATGAGTGATATCGACCTTTTCTGCACAGTTGTCTTTTAGTAATTTTACTTAAACAAAACGGCTTCATTGGAGACTAATTGTAGACAGGTGTGCCCAAAGCTGGAATATTGAAAGCTGGGTTGAAGCCTAAACGTCTTCCTGTTTGCATTCTTCAATACTACACCCTTACACTGTTTGTTACGTTGTTTTGACCGCACAGAGCTTGATGTTGTCTCCAGTGATCCTTAAGTGTGAGAATGTGACGTATGCTTCCTTTTTGTTTCCGCTTGTTGCGGACCATTGCCTCTGAACCTCGAACCAGGATAGTATTGGAGTGGACTGTCAATGGACTGGACTAATGGAGGCAAACTAGCGGAAAATTTAATCGCACCAAAAGTTGCGTTGCAAAACAAAATATTACTTTAGACGAAAATTTCAATTTCCTTGGAAGCGTCGTTACCAGAGAAAGTTCACTCATCCCGACCCTCTCATCCCTGCCCCAAGTACCGAGGGGGTGAGACGGGGTTAACAATTTCTCAGAATTTGTTTGTTTATAGGTGATACAGCTAGACAAAGAATTCAGTTTGTGGTAGAATTTGTATGCCGCACCTGGGAAATATGCTGCGAACTACTCAACAGTTATACACAACAACATTCATGCTGATAGTCCTCGTTATAGGTAAGAAATGTTATCACTTTCTAACGAATTCGTTGTGAATTGTTTGAGGAAACAACTTGATCATTTGAACAGCTTATTTGCATTCGTTGTAATCATGCTGACGAAGGAAATGGGAAAATTACGGTGCCCTTTCGATTTTGTCTGGAAAAGCGCTTGAAAATAACTTCTCCATTTGATTTCCCCTTTGCTTAGGGGCGAAAATTTGACAATTCCTAACGTTTGAGTTTCGGGGAATTTTCTGAAAGTTTTATATACCTTTGCCAAAACAGCGCACATGTGCCGATCACACTGGCAAATGTCACTTGAATTTTTTTTTGATGTCTGATAAGATGAGTCGGTGGTTCACCTTGACTAGGCTAGAAGCTGCATGCATACAATTTTCTGTAATTACTTCATTTAGATTGTCTTAGTTATTTTCTGTGATACTGTCGTCTTTCATGGTGATAATATTTGTCCCGTGGCAGGAACAGGCAGGAAACATGGTCCATATTAAATGTCGAGTAATCTTTACCGCTTTAAAATCACGAGACTTTGCTAGAACTAGGTTTTTACGTCACTCCAGCATGCTTCGAAATTCTCTAGCTCAGCTGTTATAGTTGGTGAGAAATCAGTGCACAGTTAACCAGCTCTTTGGCAAGGAATTCTCTTGCTAGCAGTTTCGTTGCAGTTTTAACACGTCAACGGAGAAAAATTTGGTCGCGTGATGTCAGAACTGTTTTGTGCGATTTTTTTAGCAGAATTTTGATTCAAGGAAATCATTGTTACAAAACAATGCCTTTTTTGTGCACATGTACGGACGATGCTAGCTGTTAAAAGTTACTGAGGGCTTTGCAATCACCTAATTTCCCTTACCTGCTAATCTGTACGATAAATTAAATAAGAGCTCATTAATTCCTGCGCAAAACAAACAAATAAAGAGTGTGTTATTCGCCGCAACTACGTAGGAATGGTATTTTTATTGTCGAATTAGTCGAATTATAGCTGAGGGAAAAATGATATGATCCATCCAATCCTCAAAGGATAAGGTATTATATGCCAGTAGTGGTTAAGTAGCATGTGAGGGGTAACTAGCCAACGTAAAAACATCTTGATTATTATATTAACAACTTTTTAAAGGGTTAAATTGTTTGAAACATCATTTCATGACAAATAAACTTTCCAAGAATTTAGGTTAAAAAAATGAGTTGATAAGTTATGCAAATCTTTCATAAATAAGCTTTCCAAGAATAGTGAATGTTGTAATTAAATTTACAAACATTTAAATGAATTAGTTATGCAAATCTCACACAACAGTTTTTCCTTTCCCCATTGCTTCCTGCTTTCTTTGATCTCACCAATTAAATGTGGTGACAAGAACACTTAATCAGAATATTATAGCACTTGCATGTTAACAATATGTCTGCAGGCTAACAGTCAAAATACTGGTAAGTTTCTTTTGAAACATACCTCACCTTCCATAAAGCCATAAAGGACAGAAGAACAGTCCCTCAGCAGGGAGGGGGGGGGGGGGCAGGTGGGAGGTGGGCTTACAGGAAGTTTTAAACTTTCAAAAAGGATTATGCCAAGCACTTGAACATGGCTCAGACCTATTCCAGTTTCATTATTCTTGGTTGGTTTCATGCAAAAAAGAGTATCATGGCACAAAAGAGTGAAAACGTGATTTTCACGCAATCCAACTGAATCTCTCATCATGGAGAAACTGGTGAGAAATTGTCCAAGTTGTCCATCAGGAGAAGGACTGCTTTATCAGCTTTATCAAGGTTTTCCTCTTCTTTCAATATATCGTTTCTCCTTTACAATTTTTGTAGGGTTAGCAATAGTTGAACCACGAGTCCAAATAATAAGTCCAATAAAGAACCAAATTATCAAGTCCAACCAGTCCGTCTTATTTAACTGTACTGTCAGTTTGGAAAAGAATGTCAGTGGAACAGTTCAGTGGAACAAAGATGGTATTTTCATTCCACCCAACAAGAAATCTCAACATTGGGCAAGTTTTGAACGTGGTAAGTATGCAAGTGACTTTTTGAGTAAGAAAGCCAAGAGGGTTTTGGAGACTTTAATCTGAAGCAGTAACACCTAACAGTGATTAAAAATCTGGGATAACCTATTGACCCTTCAACTCTAGGAAATGATTAACATGCAACTTCTCCCTTCAATGTCCTTACATTATACAGCATCAG